GGCTGAGCATCCCCCCTGCTCCAGCCCCCTCCTCCTGGCCGAGGTGTGTGGTGGCCTGGTTGACCCCGGCTTGCAGGATCACCTGTGGGTACAACAGGCTTTGCTGCTCTTCCCCCGTCAAGTCCAGATGCATGCATTGCCACTGGCTGTTTCTTCTTTTGTGATTGATGATTTCGCCAGAGCTGCGTGGGAGCTTGACAGACACACGAATTACACCCATTTAGGTTTGGCCGTGTTCTCCCCAGCATCAGTCATTCTAGAAAAAATTTACAATTTTTACCATATCTGGGTACTTGCCATAGGCACTTTTATTTACTTCATTTTTCTTTAAATCAATTTATTTTTAAAAACTTATATAATTAAAAAAAATTTTTTTTTAAAGAGGCTCCATGCCCAGTGAGGAGCCCAACACAGGGTTTGGACTCATGACCCTGAGATCAAGACCTGAACGCTTAACTGAGCCTCCCAGGAGCCCCTAAATAAATGTATTTTATTTTTAAAATTTATTTATTTTTAAAGACTTATTTATTAGAGAGAGAGCAGAGTCAGGGGAAGGGTAAAGGGGGAGAATCTTCAAGCAGACTCCCGCTGAGCGGGGAGCCCGACGTGGGGCTCAATCCCAGGACCCTGAGATCATGACCTGAGCTGAAACCAAGAGTTAGACGCTTAACCAACAGAGCCACCCAGGTGCCCCTAGATAAATGTATTTTAAAAGGAACTTTGATCACTCCTATAAATGGAAAACCAGAATCATTTACCATAGATTGCTCAAAAAATAAATGCAAACTAGTTACATTAAAATGCATGTCCTTGTTCTACCTAAAATCAAATAGTGTGTCACCTGTATGACTTTGGGAAGTGGGGGATTCGAGACAGGATCTGAGGGCATTAGTGAAGCGTATAAAGTTTAGGATATTCACTGGAAGAAATGCAGTTTCAAGTTCTTCATGCATCTTGCGGGGTGGGAGGGGGGCTGTAGCCACTCACCTTTGGCACAGTTCTTAGTGCTGGTGGTCATTGTCCATGTCCCAAGCTTCCTCCTGGGGCCAGCATCTGCCTGTGGCTTCACTGACGAAGCCTCCTTCAGCCTCTGCTTGAATATGATCAAGTGACAGGGGCTCAGTACCTGCGAGACAGCCTGAGCTGGTTGTTAAAAGAGCCTCCTGTGCGCCCGGAATTACCTCCCTGGCCTCCAGAGTGGCACCAGCTCAGTCTTTGGCCTTTTCCACAAGCTCCTCATGATTCCTCCAGCTATTTGAATGCCTGTTCAGATGTTTTCAAGGGCAGTTGCTTCAGGCTCATTAGCCTGTACTTTGTGGAATTCACTGTATGGCTTGCCTTGGTGAATGATGGCAGATGGGTTGTTAGTGCACATGTGGTGTCCCCTTGCTGGGAATGCCTTCACCCCTTTCCCTACCTCCTAACCTGGTTGGCCTCTTTTGCTCTTCAGATCAAAGCTCAAAACTCTACCTCCTCCAGGAAGCCTTTCTTGACCACCACCCCCTCACAGCCTCCTGTACTTGTTCATAGGTCTTGGCTATGTCTTTGTGAAATAACCTAGTGAACATCTGTCATCATTTTGACTTTCCTTGATTTTGGCTTGTGGGTTCATTCATTGGTTTGCCATACCTGGCATCTGGATTCCAGAGAGGAGACTTGTGGAGTAACTGTTGGTTTTGAAGCTTCTGTTCTGGCAGCATCAGGACACCTGCCTTGTCACAGGAGTCTGGTTTCTCAGGCCTGTCTGGCCTCCAGCCACATAAATTCTTGACTGGACTTGAGAACAGATCTAGGAACATGTTTCTAGATGTCTGAGGCGTTGGACTGATTTCTTCCACGTCTTCTCCTGAAAATATTTTGAAGCTTTTAATCAGAGTTCTGTGGTAGTTGAGTGAGGGAAGCTGCTCTTTTTTCTTCAAAAATACATTTATTTATGTAAGAAAGTATGAATCAATTTGAACAAGAGTATTAATAATACATATTGATATTGGCAAAAGGAAGCCCACTAATGACTAAAGTTCAGGCAACACTGACGTAGACTCTACCTTGGTGACCAGTGAAGAGTCCTGTTGGCTTTGCCTCCTACCTGTCTCCAGACGTGGACAGCCATGCCTTCATCTCGAATACCGGTCCCCTCAACAGGCTTTTGTTGGTCATCAGAGAAGTGCCAGCATCAGCATACATCCCTGCCTGTGGGAGCTCACACGTTGCTGGAAGAGAGAGATAACCAGTACAATGCAGTAGGGGACGTGCAGTGCAGGGTGGTAATCCAAGGGCTTCAGGAGGGCCTTGGAACCCAGATGGGTTCAAAGGTGGTGGTCTTGAAAGCCTGTTGGGGGTTGGCCAGTAGACGAAGGGGGCTAAGCGGGCAGAAAGGTCAACACATGCCATGGGTCACCTTCTCTCTTTTCCTCTGTGCAGATCCATATTTCCAGTTAGTACTCTTTTCCTTTCACCTGAGAGACTTCCTTTTACATTTCTTTTGTATGGATCTGTTGGTGATGCTGTCTTTTAGCTTAAGACATCTGAAAATATATTTCACCTTTGTTTTTGAAAGATACTTTTGCTGGGTATAGAATTCTAGGTTGGCATTTCCCTCTCTCTCAGTGCTTTAAAGATGGTGGCCCACCGGCTACTCACCTGCACTGTTTTCACTGGGAAATCTCATATCTTATCTTTTTCAGTATGTAACATGCTTTTTTTTTTTTTCTCCAGCCGTTTTTAAGATTTTCACCTTGTCACTGACTTTGAGCAATTTGATTATGTTGTGTCTTAATGTAATTTTCTTCATTTTTCTTGTGTTTGGTGTTGATTGGGATCTCGGATCTGTGGATTTATGAGTTTTATTGTGTTTGGGAATTTTTTGGCCATTAGGAGAAAGTCAAATATTGTTTCTGTCACCCCCTCTCATCTTGCCATCAGAGATTCCAGTTACACGTATATCAGGCCCTTTGAAGTCACGTCATAGTTTGATGATGCTCTGTTCACTTTTTTTAAAGATTTTATTTATTTGAGAGAGAGAGAGAGAGAGCATGCCCGGGGCAGAGGGGCAGAGGGGCAGAGGGAGAGAGAGAAGAGAAGTAGACTGCCTGCTGAGCAGGGAGCCCAATGCAGGTCTCCATCCTAGGACCCTGGGATCATGACCCGAGCCGAAAGACGCTTAACCAACTGAACCACCCAGGTGCCCTGCTCTGTTCATTTTTGTTAAATTAGTTTTTCCTCTCGGTTTCATTTTGGATGGTTTCTATTACTGTATCTTCAAGTTCATTAATCTTTTCTTCTGCATTGTATAATCCAGTATTGATTTCATCCAAGGGGTTTTCCGTTCCAGACATAATGTATCTTAGGTGCTACCTATGTAAATAAAATGTAAACATTATTTAGTACTGCTCATTCGCCATTAGTTATAAATATCAGTAAGTTGCACTGTTACTAGTAATCAAAAATAAAAGCAGTTCTCCATCGGAAAAAAATCTGGTATAGTTGCCATCTCTAGAACTCGACTGGGATCTTTTCTTTTATCTTCCATGTCCCTACTTAACTTTTGGAGCATGTGGAAGATAGTTGTGGTAACTAATTTAATGTCCTTGTCTGCTAATTCTCACATTTGTGTAGTTCTGGGTCAGTTTAGACTGATTTTTTTTTTTTCTTCTGCTCATTATGTGTGATATTTGTCTTCTTTGCATGTCTGATCACTTTTTTAAAGTAGTTGCCAGATGTTGTGAATTTTACTTTTTTTGGGTGCTGGATATTTTCGTATGCCTATAAATATTTTTGCACTTTGTTCTGGGATGCAGTTAAACAGCTTGGAAACAGTTTGATCCTTCCAGAGCTTGCTTTTAAGATTTGGGAGGCAGCACCAGAGCAGGTTTTGGTCTAAGGCTAATTACTCCCCACTACCGAGGCAAGATGCTTCTGAGAACGCTACCCAGTGCCCTGTGAATTATGAGATTTTCCAGTCTGGCTGGTGGGAACAGGCACTATTCCCAACCCCGTGTGAGGTCCGGGCAGTGTTTTCTTTCATTTTTCAGTGTGATTTTTTCCCTGGCCTCGGGTGGTTTCCTCACTCACGTGTGCTGATCAGCAGTCTATAGAATGCTGCCTCATTCAGAGGGACCTTCTGCAGATCTGCGCCCTTCCTCTCTCTCTGGGTAGCCCCCTCCTCTCTGATCCTCTGTCCTGGGAACTTCAGCTGCCTTGGTCTCCCAGCCCCTGGCTCTGTCCCTCAATTCCGGGAGTTTGCCAGGCTCCGTGTGGTCCTGCCTCCCTGCACCCACAGTCTGGAAACTGGAGGCACTCAAGGGGCTCACCTCATATGTTTCCTGTGTCCCAAATCATTGTTCTTCACTTTTTGATGTCCAGTGCAGTGACTCGAAAACTGTTGTTTCATTTGGTTGTCTGGTTTTCTAGTTGTTTCAGGTGGGAGAGTATATCCCACAGGATGCTTTTTGAAATGACAACCAGGCTGCAAGCATTTCCTCTGTGTATGTGTGTGTGTGTATTTTTGTTTGCACGTTATTTTGGTTTTTATAGGTTAATATCTTCATTATTGAAAGCAAAACCTCCTCAACTGCGAGCTACAAAGATTTGCCAGAAATTTAGTTAGTTTTCACAGAACTAGCGGTTGGCTCCTGGTTACAGAGTATTTAGCTGCAGGTAAAATCGAGCCTGTGTTTGAGTAGAGGCAAGATGGGGTCAGCCTCCCCACACATCCCTGTGACACCATATCACTTTGACACCAGCTGATTGATTTCACATTGCCCACATATGCACTGTTAGGGCCACTCGGCTCTTGGGCAGGGAGGTGGAGGGGTGCAGCAGGAGATATATTCAAAGTGGGTTGACTAATTTAATCAATATGATGACAATATTGCCTTGTTTAATTTGTATGATGGTGGTTTTAAACATCAAATCAAGCAGTTGATTATGTCAAAAAAGATGAGGGAGCACAGAATAAACTGTCCTGACATCACTTCTGAGCTCATGTCCCTGCCCGGCAGGCCATCATGATTGGAGATGACATCGTGGGAGACATTGGCGGTGCCCAGCGGTGTGGAATGAGAGCCCTGCAGGTGCGGACAGGAAAGTTCAGGTGAGTGCCCCGCACGTGGCCAAGTTCACCTGCCTGCCTTCCTCTGTGGATTCCTGGGGTATCCATGTTTTTGTTTTGTTTTCTTCCCCAAAATAAAGGGGGTTGTTCTTTTAAAAAAGAATGGTATATGGACATCTGCTGACCTCTTTGTGACTGTCCTCTAAGGACAGGCCTCGCTGACCTTTTCATCACAAAGAGTGGTCAGGTAAAGGCGCTTTTGATACAGGGTCCAAGATTCAAAACTGGGATTTGGATGGGGTGGAGTGTGGAGACGAGAGAGCAAGAGCTCCAGCTGTCCCAGGCCATAGCAGGTTAGGCTGAATTTGGGCCGTGCTCCATTGGGCAAGGTGGCCAGAGCCTTCCCTGCCCATGGAGCTTCCAGCTTGGGGGCACTTGGCTCCTCCTGGTCACCCTCCTTCTTCTGCTCTGCCTTCTCTGTTTGTGGGGGACAGAGAACCTAGGGACGGCAGGCCTTCAGCAAGGGTAAGATGATGTGATGGCGTCCGTGATAGCATCTCCCTTCCGGGGACAGCCGCCTGGCTTCTACGGAGGCCGGGTTCTGTGCGCCTCACAGCAAGTGGGGAGCTCTCTGCTGCTGGTCACTCTCTGGAGCCGCACTGTTGAGTACGGTGGTCACAGGCTGCCTTGAACTGTGGCTGCTGTCAGTCGGATGTGCTGGGAGTACAAAATACAGATTTCAAAGACTGAAGGGGAGAGAAAAAACGTGAAAAAGCTCACTTGTCACGTTTTATACCGATAACATGCTCAGAGGCTGGTATCTTATGTTAATTTCACCTGCTTATTTTTATTTTTGTCAGTGTAGCTGCTAGAAAGTTCTTGCTTGCTTCCCTGGCTCACATCAGGGCTCAGTGCATTTCTGTTGGGCGCAGGGGCCCCTGCACCTCCCCCTTTCCCCTGCAGATGGCACTCGTGACACACAGACCCCAAAGGACAGCCCTGGAGAAACCATGTGCTCTGCGGGCCCCCGTGGGGCTGGGAAGCCACAGAGGCCTCCATGGTACCCTGCACGGGGACCACTTCATGGTGTTCTCTGTGGTTCTCCCGTGTGGGTCAGCTTCCCTCCAAAACGCAGTCGGGTCTTCCTGAGCTGACCTTTATCTAACTAGAGTTACTGCATGTTTCACCAAGCACAGCTGGTTCTTCCTGGTGGCCCTGCGTCCTCCGTGCTATGAACACACCCCACTCTTCCCCTTCCCTGGCAGGGACACTTGGGTGGGTCCTGGTTTGGCCATTCTTTGAAGTGCCGCCAGGAACACCTGATCCATGTTTCCTGGGCATGTGGGCATGAGTCCTCGTAGGGTAGGTCTGCTTAAGATGGAATTGCTGGGTCATGGGGAATGCATATGGTCAACTTTACCAGGGAATGCCAGACTTCCACACTGGTGGTGTGGGTTTATGCTCCGCCTGCAGTGGGCAGGACCCCACTTGCTTCCAGCCTCTTTCCCACTTGGCTGTTTCGAGGGGGAAGCCTGTGTTCTTGCTAGTTTACGGACTTAGGGGCCTCAGGGGCAGTGTCGGCACCCAGCAGTCCAGTCCACCCGGATGTTGGGCCCCCTAGGGCAATGGGGAGGGACCCACAGGGGCCTCGGGTGAGAAGGCATGGGAGAGGCAGAGGTGGGCATGGGTGGTGAGGTCAATGTCTATGAGGGTGGGAGGGGGCGGGGGGCAGACACGCCCCTCTTGGCCCTGCCCTCTGGCTGTGCCTGGGTTGGACTTCCTCCACACCTGCTCGGTTTACCTGCTCTTTGATTGGCTGGTGGTGGAGGGACAGTGCCTGGCCCCTCATTTTAGTGCATGTATGCCCAGTAGGGGTGATGTTGCCCCCAAGGGGGTCAGAATTCCTCTTAAGGGTGAAAAAACTTAGAAGTACCATGGTTGGGACCTTCTGAAGGGCCATAGTACATAAACAGGGTGGGGTGGTGGGCACCTTTTGTTTCTGCCTGTGCCAAGTGTGATTCTTGTGTTCCTTTAGGGTCACCCTTGTGCCCCCAGCCCCTCAAAGGCACAGGCCTGGGCACGGGACTCAGGCTTAGCCAGTCTGAAGCCTGCAGAGCTCCTGGCCACAGTTGATGGGACTGTGATCTGAGTCAGGCTGGTGAGTTAGCCTAGGATTTTCCAGAACCCCTAGGAAAATGGCCAGTGAAGTATGAGCCAAGAAGTTCCAGTGGCCATTTTTGGTACTCCAGAGAGAACCCTGATCAAGGATGAAGTTAACAGTCAAGAAAGCAGAGTCTAGAGACGGGGAGAGAGAAATTTCAGTGACATCGTTGGAGCATCTGGATCTAGCTCTGCCTGAAGCTGATCCCTCCTCTGGCCTTTTTGGTAAAGTGGGCCATTAAATTAGGATTTTTATGAGCAACAACAGCAAGGAGCATGGTGGTACCTCAGCATCGGTGCATACAGCTCTGTGGTCTCCCTGGCTGGTTAGCCATGTGGGCTTCTTTCTGATGTATGCCCCCTGGGGAGCCTGCCCCAGGGCTTCCCTGTCTTTACGTGCCGATGATGTCCCCATGCTGTCCTTTTCAAGGGGCAGATAGAGACCTCCACAGTGGCCTTTAGCTCACGCCACTGCTGGCTTTCTCCCTGCTATAGAAAGTTCTGGAAAGAACCTCATTTAACCTCAGAGGAAACTGCTTACAAAGGTTTGCCAGAGCTGTCTCAACGTAGAACGAGCTGCCTGGAGAGGGGGGTGTCCTCATCACTAGAGATGACCTGCAGAGGCTGGTGGACCTCCTTCTGGGGAGGCTGAAGAAGGGGCAGCAGCAACATGTGGCGAAATGAAGCCTCAAACTCATCCTGAGGCTGCTGATGTTGGATCAGGTCTTTTCTGTGCCTCTGGTCCCTGGGACGAGCCCAGGAGGCTGGTCCTGTTTCCCTGCCGACAGACGCAGAGGTTTCAGTGCCACATTCCCATTTGCGGAGGTGGAAGCTGAGGCCCTGTCATTCAAGCCTCACATTCCACCTGGTCTATTACCTCCTGCTCTAGGTCCAGGGCCGTTGTCACCAGAGCTGGAGCCTGGCCGTGGAAAACCACAGGTAGAGATGGAGCCAGGCATATAGACATCCAAGTAGCGAAGAGACTGGAAGGAAGGACATCTGATTGTTACAGATGATGTAGTTAAGTGTCTTCTCAATATTCTATGATGAGACTCCAAACGAGTTCTTTTTTTTTTAAGATTTTATTTATTTATTTAACAGAGAGAGACACAGTGAGAGAGGGAACACAAGCAGGGGGAGTGGGAGAGGGAGAAGCAGGCTTCCCGCGGAGCAGGGAGCCCAGTGCGGGGCTCGATCCCAGGAACCCGGGATTATGACCTGAGCCGAAGGCAGACGCTTAACGACTGAGCCACCCAGGCGCCCCGAGAGTTACTTTATAAAGTACGCTTGTGCCCCCCACCCATAGGTTTGTGAATTTGGAAGATTCAAAAAAGAAAACCACCTAAAAGTACAACTTCAGGGGCACCTGGGTGACTCAGTCGGTTAAGTGTCTGACTCTTGATTTTGGCCTCAGGTCATGATCTCCGGATCATGAGATCGAACCTCCTGTTGGGCTCCGCACTGAGCGTGGAGCCTGCTTAGGATTCTCTTTCCCTCTGCCCCTCCTCCCCCTGCTGCTCGCACTCGCACGTGCTCTCTCTCTCGCTCTCAAAGAAATTAAAAAAAAATAAAGTACAGCCTCATTAGTTCACAAACAGAAACCAACCCAAGTACCCCAATATCCTCAAGCCTGCGTGCAGCTCTACCCTGACCCCTGGTGCCCAGAGAGGACCCCTCCTCACTCACAAGACTAAATCACTGAAAATAGGTCTCTTCATGATGGAAGTCTCCCACCCCCCAGCCTGGCTGCCCCGGTGACGGCTTACCCAGCTCCTTCTGCCTCCCCTTACGACGTGACACAGCCAAGGTGCATTCTGCACCCTCCGAGGTGTTTCATCCAGAAGGGATCAGGGCAAGGGGCTCCGGTCCCTGTGGCAGTGAAACCAGTGCTTTCTCTGGGCTGGGTTATCCCTGCCCTTGAGACGGCCCCTCCGTAGACCCCAGAATGGGGTGGGGGGGGTTGGCGTGTCACCAGCAGAGGGGCCTGAGCCAGCCCTAGCTGGAGAGGGGACGTCGGAAGTCTGTCTCGAGCTCTCCTAGCTGAAGGGCCAAGCCAGCCCAGCTGTGTCATATGAAGCCAGTGCCCTGTGTCATCTAAGAGGGTTGGGGTCACCATGAAGACCTACTGCTCCCTGAGCAGGACCCCGGTGCAAGATGGAAAAAAGACGGTGCAGCCTGGCCTTCTCTGTGTTCTCCAGGTTCACCCCTGTGCTCTTCCTTCCTGTTCTCACACCCTGCCCATCCCGTCTGCCCTGGGCGACGTGCCTCCTCCCAGATCTGGTAGGGTCAGCTTTCATTTTCCCTTTCTCCCTGCACTGCCTGCTGCTGGGGCCGCTAGAGGGCGCCGTGCTGCCGGTCCGGGGAGGGGCCGGATGCACACCCACTCACACGTGACATCCCTGTCCCACACACTCACACTCAGGTCCCACACCCTCACGCATACATACCCAGGCCACACGCACTCACACATATCCACACCCAGGCTCCCCCCACTCATACACTCACACCCAGGCCCCCTCAGATTGCGCACAGGGGCCTGCTGGCCACGCCCACTCGCATGCCCCCTTCTCCTCCCAAGCTGCTAGGACTGGGGCGGCAGGCCTGGGGTCCTGCCCTCCCTCCGGGCCCTCGCCCTCCTCTGCTGCCCCCCAAGGCCTGGAAAACATGGAGGTGCTGGGTCTCGGGGTTTTGCTGCCAGCTGGGGCCCCGGGAGTTAAAGCAGGTGGAGCAGCCTCGCGTCAGCTCACCAGCCCTTTTTTTCTTTTTTCCATCTCGCACCTTCTCGGGAGAGGAGCCTGAGACCTGCGAGTGCTCTGAGCTCGGGGGCCTCCCAGCCTAACCTGCAAGCACAGTAGAGGCCGGGTCTCCACTTGAGGAGGCAG